CAGCTGGGAGCAGATGAGCTGCACCCTTTAATTTCTAACACAAGTATCTAATACCAGAGTTAGGATCTATGGAGTTTCTATTCAGTGGTGACTATCACTGCAGAACAGCCAGGTTCAGATGGATTTTCCACGACACCTCATTAAGTAATTMGTTTTGATCGATCGTTTCATAACTKCAATAAAATATACAGTAATCTGACAAACGTGGACATCTGTATATAGAGGYGAGAAACGTGGGCTTTGGCTAAAGGCACAGATTTATGTAAATGAGGCGTAGGAGAGGAAGAAAAAGAGAGGTGTGTGGGTTTTAGAGTCATATTTCTGTACGTTAAGTAGGTCACATTTAGGAAGTCAGGGGATTGGGATTGTCWCTCATTGGGGTCAAAGGGTTAGAAGACTGATGCTGAACTGTATTGTAAAAGCAAATAAAGAGGGCAGGGCTTGTTTAATGAGGTCATGTATACTACAGACGAGGTGAGGATGGAGGCAGAGGAAGCGCTGTGGGCCTTCCGGTTGGGTGCCTGTATGGGTCACAGCATAGCCTTGGGGTGGGGGGGTGCATGATGGCAGTGATTGGGGAGGGGTGAGGATGGGAGGAGGCCCTGTCTAGCTTGTGGATATCTTGTATACACCAAAAAGATCATAGATTTTATATCTGAAGTGACTGTTCTGTGTACATGTCAGAGTTAGATTAAGGGCAAACTAATCTGACACATTATCATAAAAACACACAAAGCAAGTTAATRTTACACCCAAAGTGTTTTTTTTTTTAACTTTAACACAATGTTTTAAACAATGTACGACATGTCCTGAYGGGACAGGCTCCTTGCTGGGAGACAAACACAGTTGTTTGTTTTTGTTTAGTTTGCTTCCACAGATGCTTCCTCATATCCTGTAGGCCTCACAGCGTTCTGTCCATCCACCAGCGCTTTGACTGTTAGCAAGCTCTTTGTTGAATAATTCAGTTTTGACAGGAAATAGAACAAACAGCCTGTCTGCTSGTTTTGATGTTGCTCATCTGACAGAAGTGAAAACAGGAAGCAGAGAAGTCAAAGTCTGTGTCAAGAGTCAAAAGTAAAGAGTGCTGACAAAAAAATGCTGTTGAGATGAATAAATAAAAAATAGAAATACAAAAATCATGGCTATTATAGTGAAAAGGTAAAAAAAAAGTATATATTCAATCATAAAAAAGAAATGCTATGTTTTGTATGAGTTTCGTACAATAAAGGTCAAACATGAAACAGAAGATGCGTTTGCTAAAACAATGCCTGAGTCTTTCTGATACATAAATACATACCACTAAAGAAAAAAAATGGAGGTTAAAATGATTGAACATCAGCTCTCAAAGCCTGGTGATGATGTCAGTGTGATGAGCTTGGTTATCAGATGAACTGCCAGCAGGACAATTAACAGAAATGATAAATTACACTCCAAAGCACTTCAAGTTAAAACTCTTTCTGCAAAAGAGCTTAGATTGTAAGCCTCTTACACTTAAAATGTTGGGAGCCATTCAGCTTCTTCAAAAGTGTTTTGGCCAAGATTGAGTTTTCTTCTTTTCCATTGGAAGCCTGACTTCTTCCATTTTTGTGGAACAAAATACGCAGCTGCTGCAGCAAATCCACTCTGTCACCTAATCCTAACGTCCTACTGTCCTCTATTAGGTAAGAYTTAAAAAAAGACTAACTAAGAAAAGAGGATGATTGGAGACACGAATACTCAAGTGAAGCAAAAAGAGAATACCGAACCGAAACTACACGTGTAAAAATAAATGTGCAGCGCAAAGAGAAGAGCCTTTGATAACGCAGACTCCTTTGAAAATGATGCACTTAAAAAGCTGCTTTTTCACATAATAATTTGCCCTTTTCTCTCTTTTTCTATCCTTAAGTAGTTGCTGCAAAGTCATMGACACAGAAAAGTCAACTCATCAACTTCTTATTTTACATGTTAAATTGGCAAGCACCATTTGGATCAAGSCACTTTTAAATAATCTGTGACATTTTTTATTTACTTAATCCCATTTTTTCAGATTGTTGTTTTGTTAAATCAGTAATATATTATACAATTCTAAGCATCAAATAAACTATAGTGGGAAAGAAAATCTGTACGTCTGGTGTCTAAAGGTTTGTTTTTCAACTGACCTCAAAATTGATCTAAGGAGCTGGAGAACACACCTGGGGGAGGAAGTAAAGACAGCTAGACATTAAAAAATGGAATCATGTGATTGTAATCCTGCGAGCAAGAGGAATAACGATATTGACTGGATTTAGATGGCAGTGCGTGTCAATTAAAGCTGTAATAGCACTCGTTCTTCACCTCTATCTGACAGCAAACCTTGTGCAAAACACAGCATCCSTCTGAGCAGAGAAAATGTCACATACAAACGGTCATTTGGAGCCGTCTGCGCACGAGGGGCTTCTCACACCTTGACAAGAAAAGCCGCCGTGATGCACCGAGCAAAACTGATATTTGATAACCTCCCAGGCAGAAGGTGTCGGCCATAATGGGCTTTAAACATTCCTTTTTTTATTTGCAGAACAAATGGAGAAGTAGTGGTGCACATAAAACACATCCCCTATTCACAGAGACATGATTTCTTTGTTCCCCGTAGTCTGCAGAGAGGAACGGACTGCCACACCCACACAAACACTCAGCTCCACAAGCATTTAAGAGAAAGGCTGAATAGCTGCTGCTGAGCTAAAGAGCAGCCATTTATTAAGAGGCTGCTGTGCTGCATGGAGATTATCACTCAGATTTCCATTAAACTGGTCTTTTTTGCTGCTTGTCATAAGATCAGCGTTG